CTCATGCACGACCAACAGTTCTCAAACTCAGCTCCCTAGGACCGCCAGGGGCTTACTTAGGGGCACATGAAAATTTTGGCGCGAAAATCATTAACACGAGAAAGCTGAAACTTTAAGGGAATGTGCCCTACTCATGTACGAGCAGAATCAGGTGTTTAGAAGCGCCCGAGCCTGCGTATGGGAATGTGAAAATTTTGGCGCGAAAATTACTAACCCCGGAGCGGGAAAAGCTAAAAAGCTGAAACTCATGTATGACCAAGATCAGGTGTTTAGAAACGCCCGTGCCCACCCACATACGAGTGCGTGGAAACTTTGGCGCGAAAATTACTAACCCGGGAACGGGAAAACCTCGAAAGCTGAAACTTTAGGGTAATGTCCCCTACTCATGTATGATCAAAAGATTTTAAATTCAGCGCCTTAGAACTGTCCAGTACTCAAGTACGGAACGCGAAAATTTTGGTGGGAAAACTGCTAACTCAGGAGCGGGAAAAGCTGAAGGCTTTAATTTTAAGGGAATGTTTCCTGCTCATGTGCGACTAAAAGATTTTAAACTTAACTCTTCTAGTGTGGCCTTTTCCATTTGTCGGGTCACTGAAGCCGACATCTACAACTGACATACCACATAGATGCACAATTAACTTCCCGAACTTCGAGGGCCATTTCACAGCGTTAGCTACTCTGATTCCTTGCGATCTTGCTACGGCACGAAAAGTGCAAAAACGCATAATCGCTCTGGCCCGCCTGGTGCGTTCCAGCCTGGGTTGTAATTATCATTCAGCCCTGCCTGATGGCCGTTGAAGATCTGGTGCAGCCCTATCGCAGGACTGAAAAAATTTGCTGCGAGAGTCAGCGGTGGAATAAAACGCCTGTGAGATCCAGAAAAGTGGACGAGTGACATGTTTGTGAGTTCCTAAGTGAGGCGTAAACTCTGTGAAATTCAAAAATAACTGGATTTTTGTCTGATCGGGGGCGGGGGGAAGAGAGGAAGGGAGGGGAGGAGGCAAAGCCGTGTGCTCCCAACATCGACGCTCACAACGCATCAATTGGAGGCCTTCAGTCCCTTCAGATCTGCGAGACGCTTCAGTCCTACTCACTATTCATTAGGACGCGTAATGGGCGGTTTTAACCGAGCCGAAGACAGTGAGACCGACGGTTCCAAACATTTATGGAAATTCTTACAGCAGGGAGTTGTGGAGCTAAATCCATCTGTAACAGTTGTGCAACTAAATCGATCCGAAGAAATCCAT